TGCCCCCCCCCCCCTGTCTCTCTTCCTTTCTTTCTTCTTCTCTCAACACTCCCTGATTCTTCGAAATATTTCCTATCAACCCCTTTTAACAGACTATAGTCTCCCTCAACCAAAGAATTATTTTCGATAGCATCTCGTTTATTTCATTGCATTTCCCCTTATCCAGCATATCATTCATCCTTGTTTCCATTGTTAACCCTTTTCTACTTATGATTATTTTTTCACTGATTTTCTAAGTCTCTAAGAGAAACCGTCAGCTGTTTATATTGGTTAGTAGGTACCTGTTGGGTAAGAAAAGCTAATTTTAGATTAATTACACATTTGGTAATACTCGAAGTTATAAATGCACGAGGCGATTGGTTATGGAAGGAAGAAATAGAGACAGAACGAGGGCAGAATAAGAAAATTTACCGGTTGTTTTTCACACATATTTAGGAGAGTCGTGCCTTAGTTGCGGGGGACCATTAAAATCAGGTTAGAAGTTGTATATATAGTACTAGGAGCCTTGTCGAGAACTAGCGAGAAAGATTAACATTAATCTGTCCCTCTGGTGGTGGAGGGTAAGAAGTATTACCACAAATGAATATAAAAGTTGGAATTAAAAGTAATTTTTATTACTAATATAATTGTTTCTATCGTACCTTGACTAGAATCCATGTGACTCGAATCTGTCTGACTCGTTGCAATTTAAGAGGTTAATACAAGTATTAGCGTTAAACACATATGTTTAACGCGGAAAAACGGTGTTCGATGCGTAAGAATTAAGATAGAATGGAATAAAACAGCTACTTTCGAGTATAGTTCTTTCTTCGCTGACAAAACATTTGTTGATTCGATAGACGGAAATACAGAAATTGTTCGTTCCCTCGTTAAATACACGAATCGAGATCGTTCTAGTGATCTTGTTATCAGTCAGTTCAATGGCTACTCGTCGACATACTCGTTAGAAGGATCGTCCAAAGCTGGTGGATTATCATGCGTCAACGACGACTCTTTTCACTCGGAAACGAAAAAGAGAAACTAAACATTCTTCGTTCGTTTCGTAAAGAAATTCGACGAGCGTGGACATCTTCTGTGGCTAGCCTCGCGCTCCATTTGAAACGTTTATTCTCCTTCGTTTCCACTCGTTATTTTCGCCTTGTAAATTTATGAATTTTCATTTCATCCTCCAGAACGTTTGAAATCTCTTTTTTCTCTCCGTTATTAAATCCTCTTTGCACAGCCACCGGATTCCGCCATTCTTGATCGCATCGCCATCTAACTTGAGCAAAGAACAAAGATAACGATAAGGCCAACAATGGTTATCGGTATAAACGAAATCTATGCTATCGACTCGAATTAGAGGAAACAGATCTTGTTCGATTCCTGATACCACGGATGAAATATCTTACATCTCCGTGGGATCCAGAGGATCGGAATAATTGCGGGTTTCTTTTTCGCCGTTGCTTATTCTCTTAAGCGTGTAAAGTATACCTGTAAAGGAATCGATCGAAATTCGATAGGTAGTAAACGTTGAATGGTAAAAATGCACGCAGTAGGGTAGGATTGCTCGTTTTGAGATTGTCCCAACAGGATTCGCCACGGCGCAATTGGCATTCTGGTGTCCCTCTACTGACGACGAACGAAACTCGATTGTGAATGGCGTTCCAGGATCGACCTCGCTCCTCGTGAGAGATCTTACCGCCTTTGTCGACCGTGAAACATATTTGATCCACGAACAATTGTACACCTGAGAGCTAGACTGATCCAAATCCTGTATTGTAAATTCGCGACAGAACAGAGAAGCCGTCAACGATCTACGACGCATGAAACATTGTACTACTTGAAGTAATTCAAACAGTTAAATCTCTTTTCATTTGTTACGTAACGTGAACAGATATCTGTTCTAGCGAAATGAAGAAAAAGTAGTATGACGATGTGTGTAACTGAACTTTGAACCAAAACAATGGAGTTGGATTAGTCTGACTGTAAGATACAGAATGTAGAACGATTCACGTGAAATTATCTTACACGGGATACGTATGTGAACAGATGGGGTCTTATGAGGTGATTATTATTTTATTTCGATCAATATTCCTTGCACAAGTATACAGTGAAATAATTGGATTAGTCAGAATCTTGATTGTTAGTAGTAATAACTGGTATAATCATAGCGCGTGTGCAGTTGTTATTTTGGTTAGTAAATTCTCCGTCTAATTTTTTCAGCAACTGTTTAAAGCGAAGCTATCTAAAAGCGCGTGGAACGTGAAATGTGTGCTGCGTAAGAGAACACTGACTGCTGTCGCTCGATTTTGCCTGTTTCAGCGTTACTCGATTCCTCGGTTCGTCGTGTTCAACGTCTTCCCACGTGGAGGCTGAAACGATAAGAAAATCTCAAGCTTTCAAGTAATAATGTTTATAACAATAACGAATATGTTTAAAATTCAAGACTGGGATTATAATAATAATATGGTAAAATAATACAAAGTCTCGGTAATTATTAAACAAAGAGGCGTATCTCGCCAATTTCGATGACCTTCAGATATATCGTCATGGTCAGTATTACCAATGTCTCTATTCTCTCCATATTACGCTAACAACTAAACTTTTTACAACTATATAACTCTCGCTGTCTGACTATTTCGCTATCACTCTCCTTTCTGACTGCCTCGCGCGCGTCTCGTTCCCCATGTTTCGTTCGCTTTCGCGGACGTTCTCCAAACCGCCAAAATTTTTTTGTGGCTGATACTCTCACGCTCTCGTTCCAAACACTTTTCGTTCACTCCTCTATCGCTCCAGCTCGAGTATACTTCCTTCACAGAGCTATTGCGATAGCCAGCCTAATCTCAAGCCCTAGTCACCTTATTTTTCACTAGTTTTACGTATTGCTCATTCGTACACTCGTCCCTCGTTTTCCTCAACTTTTCCGCGTATTGCTCACCCGGACAAACCAGCCTAAACCCTTCTACCCTTACAATTATTTCTTACAATTGCAGTATCGGGGCCTCCGTACTCAATAGGAAACCGACCAGAGAAAATATAGAGGGAGTTGTTGGCGTAGTGCGCAAAGCCTCGGCTTGCTAAGTGCAAGGTCCGGGGTTCGATTCCCGGTGGGTCTCTCAAAATTTTTCCGTCGGTTTCTACACAATTTATATAGGAAACGAATTACCATTTTAAAAGATTCATCACTCTCTGTGCAACCAGTGAATCTCGGATTCAATATTAAAATTTCTATATCTTTAATCATCCCACACCCAAACGGCCAGTCTACACGGAATCAACCAGATTAAAGCTTCCCAAACACAGTTTTCATCACTCGCTCCACCTCAAGTATACTTCGTTCACGCAGCTATCGCTCTAGACTAAACATATTCACACACGAAAAAATCTTATCGCTGTCTCTCTCTCTCTGGTCCACAAACACTCTTCATTCACACGTCTAATCTCTCCAGCTTTTAACAGGTTCGCTGAAATATTTCTAATTACAATACAAAAGCTATCATTGCCACGCTATCCCGAAGCAAACAGACGAGAAGAATAAATAAAGCGACCGACATTCTCAACTCACCTGGTGAAATTCTTGCTAACGTCTCCCATCATTCTCCTCGCTACTTTCGATCGTGGTCATGGTTTCTGTGTTAATTGTGCACGATCTATTCTCTGCGACGTGTACGTTCAGGTTGTTAGCCCTGATAGTGAAGGTCAGCAAGGGATTCCCTTCGAGGTACAGCTCCTTGAGATAGCTCGATCTCACGTTGAACAGCTCGTTGATGTTATCGATGTTGTTATTCTTCAACAGCAACACTTGTAGATATGGATGCTTGTGAATCAAATTGATGGGGAGGTAGTCGATGTCATTCTTGGACAGGTCTAGCCATCGTAACCCCTGTAATCTTCTCAAGAAACTGCTGTTGCTGTCTACGTTGAAAATCATGTTTTCCTGCAAACGTAACTCCTGCAGAGTCTGGTAATTGCAAAAGTTGTCAGGTTCCACAATCTTGATACTGTTGTTACTCAAGTCCAGATGTTTCAGCCGATTCAACGAACACATACTCGGTATAAAAGTCAGCTGATTCCCGCTGATCCGCAGTATCTCCAGCTTGGTTAGTACTTCGAACACGTCACGCGGCAGACTGATGTTTGGATTTCCCGACAAATCCAGCTCAACTAACTCCTTCGTATCCGCGAACGCGTTCTCTGCGACATCCTTGATCATGTTCCAGGACACGTTCAGTTTCGTTAACTTGTTCATCCCGCTCAACGTTATACATTCCTCGTCGCAGTTGTTACCATGCTTGGTGGACACTTTCTTGATCTGATTCCCGTTTACAAGCAACTCCTGCACGTTCCTCAACTTCTCCCCATTTACACCCTTGATTTTGTTATCGTCGAGGTGAAGGTGGGTCAAAGTTTCGGGTATGTTGTCGAGGAAAGCCAACGTTTCTATACGGTTCCCGGAAAGATAGAGCTTGGACAAAAAAGGCGCGAATTTCTCGAGGTTCACGGAGAACGACGCGATCCCGTCTCTTTTCAACGACAATTCGCGTAACCTCGGCATCTTTTCCAACATCTCGTCCACCGTTACCTCGTCCACCGTGTAATTGTTATTGTCCAACAACAGCCTCTCCAACGTGTCGTGCCTCTTGAACTGTAACAACTTGTCGGAGGCGATATAGTTACCGGACAGACTTAACACTTTCAGCTTTGGCAAACCTTGAAACGCCATGTCGGAGATCTCGGTGATCTCGTTCTCGTTCAGATACAATTCCTTTGTGATCGAACTATCGACGAACATCGGATCGATCTTCTTCAAACCTAAACGTGTGAAATTCAAAACTGCATTCCTGTCCACTTCGCGCCAGCACTCTTTCAAGGGAGAGAAATAACCCGGCGTAGTTTCGTCGAGGCCGATCCGGTTATAATATTCCACCGTGTACGGTTCTAGTGCTTCTGCCGAATGTCGATTCGGCGGTGGTGTTGTTTTGCTGAAGATAATTCTGTGGGTGGATATCGGTTGTACCCCGAAGAGAAGCACGAACGCGGCGATCCACGCGTGTACCATCTGCGAACACGTAAACGTTGAGGAAGAGTAGGAACGATCTGTTGATAAATAAAGCGAAGGAGAGACGAACGTTTTCGTTGGGACTCGTTGATAATTTTCTAAACGTTAATTATCCTCCACCGCGATAGAAATCGAACGTACGTAGCCGTTTGGAATATGAACAATTATAGAAGTAACGTTCCAACGAAACCAATTTTACTCACCCTTTCTTCCTTCGATACTCGCGAAACGCACATCTCGTCTGAATTGTGGCGTCGCTACGTCTTCAACCGGTTCGAACAATCGACTGACACCGTCGTCTTCTGGCCACTCGAATTTGTCTGCTTACAAGTTAGAGATTACTCTCGAGGATATTCAACACCTCGTAGCGATCTCAGGGCTGTGACGAATCCTCGCGTTGCCCTAACCCGGATGCTACGCGCGATAGTCATCGCGAACGGACAAATTTTCGGGGAAGAAGAAGAAGTTGCAGAAGTGTGTGACGAAGACACGTCCGTGTGAAATTTAGGTAGGAAAAAAAAAAAGGTGAACGTCGGATGAGAAATGGGTATCTGTACGCGGAAGATCGATCCGTTTCCTCTATTTCGACCGATTCAAATCGATCTCTGTTCGATGGTAAATCGAGGGTTGTAAGCGTATTAGGATAATCGGTAAAGGCAGGGTGACGAGTATAATTGGTTCGTCACTTGCCTCGAGAATAATTGCTGAGATCGAGCGTGTGCATTCTTCGGCGAAATTTTATCGCCGCTCCGCTCATGTTACGCGGATATCGCGCGTCGTATGATTAACACTCACGAGGGAAGGTCCCGAGGCGTAACTCTTTGGCACAATGATAGAGCTTGAAAAACTGAAGCCACTGATACCCGGTTTTGGGGCAACTAGTGTTGGTTGTCCTTAGAAGGACTCAGGGTGCCTCAACTTTACAGCTTATACCCCTATCAGATCAGGTTTCTACTTTCCATCGAAACCACCAACCGAAGAACAAGTCGGAGAATGAGCGAGGACGCCCGACCGTGCTTGAAGCCCAACTTGGCGGTAAGGATTTTTGCTCTTGGACTTTTTCAATTTCTAGACGTTAGTAAGGATGGAACTAACGTTTGTGTGAAATTTCAGCCCGATAAAACCAGCAGCACGGCTTCCAGAGACGGATGTGGAGCGATCAGCTGTTTTGAGGCAGACGGTTAATAGTTTACGAGATATTTAATATTAAAGTTTTTTACCTGTACACATAACTACATTATACTATGTTATACCCTACGCCTCGCCAATCGCCGATATCGCCCTGGAATCTTTCGCCGTGATCGAAAGAACGATCACGAGTGTGATCTTTCGTCACACTCGTCTTATGCTCGCCTTATCGTCGCCTTATCGTCGTCGCGGTCGTCCGCCCGCGGAATATAATACGCGGCTTACCTTCGCGAATATTCCGTCGGCTGAACAACCTGCCTCTGTAACGCTTAATTTTCGGTCATTTTTCTGAACAGGCTCAACATACAGTAGTGCACACATAAGCGTCCACAGTCGAGACCGAATGAAGAGAGATGTGTCTGAGTGGGATACCGATACATCACACGGCACGCTCGAACTCCACTCCCAAGTACCATTTCCAAGAATTGGTGGGGATAGCGATGGACGCTTATGTGTGCACTACTGTATATCGTTGACTGATTCACGAAGGAAAATGATAATTTTCTTCACTTTTTCAACTAGTAGATTGTTTGAAGTGGATACGAGGAGATAGGATAAGGCTACATAAGGAGTACTGTGTCGCGATAGTATATAAAGTTGAACGTGATTTGGAAGTGAACAGTCGAAGAAAGGGTACAGTACCCGACTGTGCGTGGTATAATTGGAATTTGTGTCTACCGCGAGTATATTTCACGTAAAAGGTGCGTATCCTTTGAGAATTCGATCGACCCGCGGTTCCCCTTCTTTCCTTCGGTTTACGGGCACACCTGCAACAATGTAAACAGAAATTTTCAATTTTTTTCAGAAATTCGAAAACCATGAAGCTGTCGTTCGTTCTCGGAGTAGCGCTTGTTCTCTCGCCGTTGATCGTGCTGGCAAAATTTCTTCCGCCCGAGATCATATCGTTCGAAAAAGTTTGTGAGAACGAGACTCTAAAATTCAAACGGAACGATCTCATAGATTTTAACGAAATCGAAATAATCTCTGATTCCATAGAATGTGTCGTCATTCGTGCTAGTATGGTGCAAAATGCGAACAGGAACTTTGACCGATTGCCAAATTTGAAATACCTCGATGTTGATCTATATTCTGATTCACTGGGGTTAAATTCTTTGGGTAATCTTACAACCGTCAGAGCACTAAAGTTCCGTAATACAGGAAATTATGACGTCAGAGTTGTAGAGGTACAGAACGAATATCCTAATCTGAAATATTTAGATCTATCATCTAACCAAATTGAAAAAATAACCAGCGATGTGAAAAATCCATTCCCTGAAGTAAGATATTTGAATTTATCGTGGAATTATCTTAACTCGTTGGAATTTAACTACATATTCTCGAATTTATCGCATCTTGACCTTAGTGGAAACACATTTAACGAATTCCATTGGAACCTCGGTAGGCAGAATCTGTCGTCGCTGGTGTTAGACAGTAACCAGATGACCGCTATAGGTAGTTTTTATTATCCAACGGTTGATTTGACAGACTTTTACAATTTGGTGAATCTTTCGATAGCGGATAATAAAATCCATACAATTCTACAGGATGCATTTGCATCTACACCGAACCTTCGTCGGTTGGACCTATCCAGGAATTCTATAAAGTCTTTAAATTCTAGCACGTTCCAATATTTGTCAAATTTAGAGGTTCTTTTATTGGATGGTAATTTGCTCAGTCTGATTCCGGAGATATCTGCAAACATAAGCACGCTGTCGTTGAACTGCAACAATATAACAACTGTAACGCGTAATTCCTTGTTGAACTTGAAGACTTTACGAAAGCTCTACTTAGAGGGAGATAACATCACGTACATAGATGTAGACGCGTTTCAGAATCAAATACTGTTAGAAGAATTATACCTGGGCGGCAATCGATTAAATTTCTTGCCAAGACTTTGGTGTGCAAATATGACGAACCTTCGATACTTGGACTTATCATGGAACAAGTTTACTTTGCTGGAAGCAGTAACATATTCGCCTAATTTTCCGGTAAATGAGATCAACATGGAGGGCAACCCTCTTACGTTCGTACATTCGTCTACGTTTGAATCAATGCCAAAAAATGTGACAATTTCCTTGAACATTGGTTCCGAACAGCTGCCGCGTTTATGTAACCGCCCTGTCTAATTTCTCCCGTATTTCTCCACGTAATCATTGTAATGAAAAATATAATCGTTCGCTAATACATCGGTTCTTCTTTTCTCCTCGTTGTCACAGCTCCTTTGGTTGTATTTCCGTGTACTAATCGTTTATCGAGTGTATCGTACAAATATCAGGGAATAGAGACGCGTTAACAAAGTACGGTACTATGAGCGGATTAAAACAGTACCTCTTACAGAACTGCGTGCGTAATGGTAGCAGGACTAAAAATCTGACATTTTTGAGGTAGGACCTGAAACTAAAGTCCGGGCCTCTTAGTTGACTCGTCATCAAGTAAGGCTTTCTAGGAGACCCGTGCCTTGGACTCAGGTCAGAAGTGGTATATATACGAATACACTTCGTTCAAAATAAGAATAACCTCGTTTCGCGCATGGGACTAGAATGTCCAAACCCCCACTTAACCGCCTACGTTTTTCTCCGTCTTACCCTCTGCCACGCTCTCTGTCTGTATGCAGAACGGACGAAAATCGGTCCGAAAGCGAGGTTATTCTTATTTTGAACGAAGCGTAGGAGTCTTTACGAGGACTAGCGAGAACTTGGGGGCTAGTCCGTCCCTCTGGCGGCAGAGCGTAGGAGGCTCGCTACAGGTGTATAAGTTAATAGTGTATAATATGTAGTTTTTAAATAAAATAAGTTGTTTTTTAAAGAAAATCTGCGGTTTCGTCAATTTGACGCGTGTCCGTAGAGATGGGTATATAAGAAATGTCGGTAAACCTAGCGTTAATTAACACTTTAACTATCGGGAGACCTACAATTTTATCCTTGGAAGAACGGCTGATCAGTGGCTCGTAGAGAAAGATTCACTTTGCTTTCGCACTATTCTCCGCGATAAAACGCCTTATCTTTCGTCCGAGGATAGTTTGATCGCCTTTTTTCCAATATCGGACGGGAGAGATTATCATTCGGGTTACGATAAAGAGAGAGGGAGAGAGAGAACGTTTTCACAGTGTTTTATTTCACAATCTCGAGTGCAAGTCGATGTTACAATTTACTTCATTCTACAGAAACACTGTGCACTGCGACGGCACAAGTTGCAGCGAGTTCAAATCTATGCCTTTTATCGCATTATTCCTCACGCATAATTCCGTCAAAGCCCACGACGTACCGATCTCCATATATTCTATCGCCGTGAATCTATTCGTCTCCAAGTTCAAGTATCGCAACATTTTCAAGTTCTTCTGCCAGCCGACAGGCAACGATACCAACAGATTCATCGACAAATCCAATTCCTCGAGCTGTTCCAAGTTGGAGAACGTCGTTGTCTCGATTGCGCTTAATTGGTTTCCTTTTAAACTCAAAATCTTCAACTGGTGCGGTACAACGTGGTACGGAATCGTCGAAATCTGGTTGTAACTCAGGAGTAATACTTTCAGACGTTTGAAATGCCGGAAATCCGGGAACAAGGATAATTGGTTGTAATTCAAAATAAGATTCTCCAGGGACGGTAAGCTTTGCAAGTTTCTGTGTTCCGATTCGTCTGTAATTTGATTCGAAGATAGGTCTAACGTGATTAACGACGAGACGGAAATCGGTATCATTTGCTTCAACAGACAACCGGACAACGACAACACCTGTAGACTTCTATTGAACGAATCGATATTTATACTCTGTATAGGATTTCGGTCCAGGTACAACGCCTCGAGATTTTCAGTACCCCTCAGCTCAATTTCTTCAATTTTGTTACCTTCTAGATGCACGACCCTTAATTCGCTATAATCGCGAAATAGAGAATCGGCTACGTACGTAAAACCCGCATCGGTCGCATAGATGGTGGTCAATCGCGGAAAAGGCGCGACTGATGTGAAAATCACGTCCATCTCGTCGATCCCGTTTATCGATAATGTCTCCAAGTTGGGATAATTTGATACCAAGTCAGCCAGATGGAGCTTATCGTCCCCCATCATGTTGTCAGATTCTGTTACGATCTGATGATCTAAAATAAGGGTTCTCAAGTTGTCGTGTTCGAATTTCAACCATTTCATCGGTATCTGATTCCGTGCTAGATTCAGACATTGCATACTCGCCACGTTCTTGAACGTGTCTCTCGGAATTGCACGAATATCGTTTCGATCCAATAACACGTTCCTTATACTCTTGCTACTTACAAAATTCTCCGGAATTCTTTTTAATTTTAATCCGGAAAAATTTACGGTTTCTTCCTCCGGACAGTTCACGTACGCTGGCTCTTTCCTGTAGCTAAAATCCTGCACGCCTCTACACTTTTGCACATGAGAGACTGTTTGAATTGTGGCAGCCATGTGAACCGATGTAAGTAAAAGCATCGGGATGACTATTTGGTACGTCTGAAAGCGTAAAAGAAAACGAGTTCGTCAAACACTTGGAAGGTTTTCATTCTTAAGGGTGGAATTAACGCGTCGAGAGGTACAGGATGGGATCGAGATCGTCTTGTGGAACTTTTTCTCACACCGTCTGAAATATCGACGTCGTCCAAGAATAATCGGTTTGTCAAGCGTTCGATTATTCTAAGAACGATTATTTCGAAGAACACCCTGTAGGAATAATCAAGCGAGAGACAGAGACACTAGGATTTCCACCAGATGTGTCTGATGTTCGTCTTCGAGTCTGCACACCGCGATAGAATAGGATAAGCAGTTGGTGGGTATAAGCGGACCCCAGCCTTCTCTTTTTCGGTGTCCAGAGCATTTGAAAGAGCAAAGACGTTTCTTCCGAGTCGAGGAATGAAAAGAATATTGGCAGTTACAAAGGCTATTTTAGTTCAATCACCCATTTCCAGTAGTTCGGTTACTGCAAACATATTCCCTTGCCTTCTTCTTCGCTTTTTCTTTCGTTCTGTTACACCCTCAAATATTTTCCTTCTTAGTCCTTAGTTTTATCTGTATTTACAACCACTTTCACCATGGGCTCTTCACCTTCCAACTCTCCTGCATAGTCACAACTAGGGCTATTACTTTTAACCGAATTAACCCATGAGATACCCGGGTAGATGAAAATAACCCGGTCGACCCGGGTATCTCACGAGTACTCGAATATGTACATAAAACAGTCGAAATCTCGGTGGCCACTACCGCTGGTGGTTCCCAACAATGCCGACGTGTCACAGTGCACCTGTACCCTACACAATATTGTTTTGAAACCTCTGCCGAAACAGTCGAGGAATAATAGATATCTACTCTCAGCTATCTCATCTCACGAGATACCCGGGTACTTTCTGATTACCCGAGTACAGTAAATTCTCTACAAGTGTCAGTCAGTTTGGATTCTACAAGTGTCAGTATAGATGGTCCTACGCCTAGGTCTGCGTCATTGCTGCGCCCATGTTATCTCGCTCGCAGTCCTTGTCCTTTACGAGATTTCACGGCTCGACAAATCATAATAGAAAAATATCATTTCTTTAATTTTACTTTTTTTTATCTGCAATTTTTTTTTAACACGTTGCTCAGATTTTTCTGATGAAAATGATATCAAACACGATATAATTTGAACAACATTTACTTATTAACACGTTCACTGTCGCGCCAGATTTACAGGTTGCTGTCGGATGATAGGAAAATAATGTCTAGCTAGCTATGACGTTCAAAATTTTTAGTTGACAACATTTATTTTATTTTAATTATTCTAAACATTTGAGGCACTCCAGTCACTGATGACCACCATGGCCATATCGAGGGAACAATCTAACGTTAAAACTTATTGAGTGCTTAATTTAATTTCATAACATATCGCTTTGGATGAATTACAAAAACAAATTGCAAAAAAATTGTTAAAAAAATTGTTAAAAATTGCCCATGTTATCTCGCTCGCAGTCAGTCAAGCGTGTAACGCTACACCAGTCGGTTTCCTTTACGAGATTTCACGGCTCGACAATTCATAATAGAAAAATATAATTTCTTTACTTTACTGAGATTTTTCTGATGAAAATGAGATCAAACACGACATAATTTGAACAACATTTACTTATTCACTGTCACGCCAGACAGTGAACGTCTGGAGTACCCAAGCTTGCGCTTGTACCTCTATCAGGCCAGTTTTCTACTCTCTATCGAAGCCACCACCGGACAGAACCGGTCGGAGAATCCGTCCCATACCTGAACCCCAACTTGACGGTAAGGATTTTTTCTCTTGGACTATTTTAATTTCTAAACGTTAGTAAGGATGGAACTAAAATTTCAGCCCGAGATTCGACTCTACAACTGGGCTCTCCGTTTAGTTTATGACTTGCGTATACGGTGAAAATACGAGAGACGTTGAAAATTGTTAGCGGCCGTAATTTTTTCGCCAGGGGCTGCAGAATCCCCTGCGATCGTGTCACAAAATGATACGTTCGATTATACTCCGTGTCTCGTGTGTGATTCGATACGTACGGTACTTACCATCTTGTTAATTAGAGCAAAATTGAGTTCCAAGTCGACCACAGTTGGAGGAAAGTTTGTCGCGTACACTGCTGTGTGTAGATGCTGCTTTATATAAATACGTAACTTTATCTGCATAACGATTATTGCATCGGCAGCAATAGCGGACGGACAAACAGATATCTCGCGTTCATTTAGTAAACTTCCATGAAAGAGTTGCCGTTCGGTGTTCTCGAAATAGATTAGCGATAAACAGAATCAGCACTGTTTCTCTTATCAAGAACTTCCGACCATAGAATTTCGTGGAAAATCAGTCGAGCTGAGTATCAGCGGAAGAGCATTCCACGTACATATACGTAGATATACTTAGTACGAAAACTGGACGAGGGTGTAAGGAATGCGAGATTTAAGCGGCGAAGTGGTGGCCTGATCTTCGTCACCCAGGGTCACCGGAAGAGAAAACACGTGGATACTTGAAGGTGCCACAAATTGAGCCCTTTCCCCGGAAAGTCGAACGAGGGGGCTCTAACGGTTTTTCGGAGCAACGCAGGATAGGACGCGGAGAAGGCACTTTCGTTATACACCCGAGCCATCTCAGTAACCGCGGATGTTACAATAACAGCCTACACTGTGTCTTGTTTATTAAAAGTGTGCCCTACAAGGGTATTAACAACGACGTTGTCCTCGGTACCGAACAAATGACCGAACTCTCTGTGCGCCGAAGGAAGAAAGGGGGAAAAGATTATACCCTTGAACTTACGACGAGCGGGAGGAAGTAAGCGGCTCTCCCCACATTTCACGCGATGGATCATTAGTTACGATCGTTCTGAGTCGATAATCAAAATTCGCGTGTGTAGTGGTAACAGGAAAAACGATCAACATAACGAGACAGGATGATGTAAACATATATAGAAGAATGACATAGTGTGTTTAGTATGGATGGACGTTGATATTTTCTTATCTTCCTTCCTTCCGTCTTATCGAGATCTTTTATGCAACAACGTGCCTTCCTCGTGTGTAAAATAAACGATAGTTTTAAAATTGAAATAGCACATTTTAATTTATTTATTTATTTAATTAATTAACCAATGACTTTGTCCTTTCCTGACTAACTCCGTCTCACCCTCGGTACACCTTGTCGTGGTATGCGCTTTCCCTGTGATAGCCCATCTAATCTCCACCTAACCTTGTTTTTCACTAGTTTTAACTTCCTCGCCGATTACTCATCCGACCAAACCAAAACTAAAAAAATACATTAGATACTTGGACACATTATCCGTCGAATGTAGAGGGAGAACCACCGTTTGGTTGCCAATTGTTTATCACATAGAGTCGGCCTACCTCCACGTAAAAAAAAAAAAAATGTAGG